TACTTATTGAATGTTCAGGAAACATATTCAAGGAAACTTATACTATTTTAAACGTGACTTGTGTGTAAGTCACGTTTAAAATAGTATAAGTTTCCCTAAACAAAATGAGATTCCTGATTTATGATTCCCTTTCATTGACAGGTATGAATAAAGGTAGATTGGTGTGGGTTATAGTGTTGTTTGTACACTGTAGATAATTTATATCTGTATCTATTTATAAAAAAGAAAAGGAAGTTCTTTATTAAGTATTTTTATGACAAAATATTGTTCTTCGTTGTATTTCTAAGACATTCGTTGCCGAGTAGCCCGCACGCCGGTTTGAACGCCATCTGTAAGGTACCGGGTTCGATTCTGGTTGAGTCTAAAAAATGAACTTTGTGAACTTTCATTGGTTTAGATTTAAATAAACAGATGCTGAAAGCTACCTAAGAAAAAAAAAGCTTTAGTTAGAACTGATCTCGCGCCTCACAAATCGGGGATTTTTTATACTTATTTATCAATAAAAAAAAACAAAAATGGAAGACTGTTTAGTATCACTATAGTACTACTAGTCCATAATTCCCATGTGAGCGTAGTGAGCATAGAGTAACAGAGTGAGAGATCCAACATCTTAGTAATTTGAAAAAACAGGCTTACATGCCTTTAAAACCAGGATAGAACAAAAAACAACAATTAAAAATTTGACACTTAGTTTTTAATGCATAACAATGACACTGGCTAAAATATATCATTTATATAAAGGAAATATATACCAACTTAAATAGCAAAAAAAAAACTATTCATCATATCATTAAAAGACACAACACACTAAGACATCAATAGAAAAGAAAACAGCACAACACAAAACCCTCACATTCAACTCATTCAATTTAATTACTCGAATAACAAGATGGCGGGAGAGCAAAGACGTTATTATTCGCTGCCACTGAAAGCGTATTATCCCCATCGGGCCATTACAGACATTTCTTGTGAAAAATAATAGATATACACATAATTACCGGCCCTCCTCGCGCGAGAGGTACAACTCTGTCATATGTTGGAACGGGACAGATGTACTTCTCGCGGCTTCGTCGCGAGCACTTAAGTAATTGAATAGAGGGGAGTCGGGTAAGTCAGCGCATAAAGGAAGACTGGAAAATAATAATACTAGTCATAATATTTCTAGAGTCGCGTGGAAGGGTCACAACTTATTTGGTTGGCTCATAAATATAACAATAAACGTATGTCACTGAGTTGGTGATCTCAAACTAAACTCCTTGAAAAATGCACAAACTTCTGTTATATACCCATAAACTTATTCACGTTAACATCGTCATTTATCTTTTTCTTCAATGACTATAATTAATATTATTCTAATATTTTTATAATAATAGCTATCGAATAAAGGTTATTGAAAAAGCAGAGTCTGAAAAAATATATACTATTCATAATTAAATAAATTAAACAGGTTTATCTTTGTCTTATATTATAAGTTGGTTTTTTGTGTTCATTATTTGTTTAAAAAAATACAAAACAATATTCAAAATTTTAGTCTTTTCTATAATAGTAAGAAAAGACTACAATAATTATATCCAATCTAACTAACAGCCTCAGTAAATTAATAAAAAAAAATTGTTAAGCATACATCAATGGTGATATCTTCATTTATAAATGTGTTAGCTTCTGTATAGCCAAGTATTCACTTAGCATATTTGTAATAAGTGAACAAAGTCAATCATAAATCCAAAAACGGTCGTAAAATGTGTAACGCTTTCCGTCTAGCGTCAAGACACAAGCGATAAACGCAAATGGTGCAACGATAATGTGTACTTCTTAAGCCTAGTGCTCATGTGCGAAACAGAATAGTAATCATTGCAAACTTCTCTGAAACACGAACTACACCGACGATATTTCTCATTTGAATTTTAAAATTTCTCGACAGTGCGTTTTCTTATTTACAAAAGATAAATAATAATAATAATTAAATGAGTAATCTTCGGTAAAATAAAATACAACGTGCAAATAAAAGAAAGTGGTTTATGTATTATTTTTTATATTAAATAAAAAAGTGTTAAGTTACTTTTCTTATCCGACATCGTATTAAAATTGCCCGCTAGTAGTACTGAAATACAAAATCGCTTTCGACTAAACTTGTGACTTCAGTAATTCTCATGATAATTTTTTTAGAATACCGTAACATGCTACTCTGTTACAGTGACGGCAAGTGTGTACTCAACTTTATGACGTTCTGTTTTGTGACAGTCTCGCTTTTTGTTGTCGCTGTAACAAGTTTCATCTGAAATTTGTTGTGCTGCTTAGTAATTTTATGTCTCTTTTTGAAGTTACATCTTCCGTAACAACATTGTCAGTATGACGGAGAAAAGTGAATTACATTAGATGGAGCCATATAAAATGATAATTTATATAAATGAAATAAATAAGAAATAGACTGGAATCATATGTATTAGTAAAATAATAAATTATAGCTAATAGGTACACAAAAACAACATGAATTAGATGCAGCTCCATCATCATTGACCAAGTACTGTTTCGAAATTCTCAAAAACTTATTATTGTAATTTAGAATGGAGAAGCGTATTTCCATAAAAAAATAAATTCTTTATAATTAAATAAAAATCCAAAGAAGATGATCATAGAGACAACTTACTTGTACTTGTCACATTTTCAGACAGATGCTAATCATTTATATATTTCTTTCACGAAAGCTTTTGTGAAGCACCTGATAGCAGAATGGCTAAACACTTAAGTAATGTGAAAGTAAAGTATATAAAACCCTGGGTAGTCAAGAACTCTCTACTTACTCCGTGAGAGATATGACGTAAAGATACAAATAATATTACGCGTGTTGAATAATTTATTATTATACTTTTTGTAACATACAGAATCATAAAAAACAAAATAAGCCCGTCCCATATTTAACAGAATAGTAATAAACGAGTAATGAATAGCTTAATTGCATTAATCATTATATGAAAACGGTAACAAACGTTAATAACTCGTTGAGCGTGTTAAGGCTATAAAACGGGCCCTGGATTCAGCTCCCGAAGTATTTATGGCGCTGTTCACTGCTATTTCTCATAAGGGTCTAATTAATAAACACGCCAAGTTGGCAGCCATCAAAATATCGTTACAGCCGCTGTTACAACACTAATCCCTTGGTTAAGAATACTAGGGCACAAAACACAAGCGATTTGTGTACTCTTCAAATCTATGATTTAATTGAGATTGAAAATATTCTTCGTTCAAACCACACAATTGAGTGTGAAACTGTTAAATTAAATATACAAAAGATTATTAAACTACATAAAAATAATTGAGTTAATGCTTTAATATCTATGAGGGTAGAAGACAAACTAATATGATGGTACATTACATTTTATAATGCATACATTATAATAATATCATAAAATATAACCTTTTGAGAAAGAATAAAAATTCTGTCTATGCGTAACACAAGTAAATTTTCCCACAAGAATATCGACCTATATGAAATCGCTTTCGCTTCTGCCTTGAGCACTACTGTAAAATTTAATAAAGCCATATTTACAGTGGGTCGTTAAAGTTCTAGCTAACGGTTCCGCAACATCGCTTGAGCGTTGTACACATCGGCGTCTCAGCATTACGACCCGGTAGACAAGCTTCAGTCGACCATTTATTGTACACAATACTACTGGAAACTGTTCTGAAATTAATGTTTACAGTAGTATACAAATTCGCTGCTAGTAAGCTGTTAAAATTTAAATGTACTCTCCAATTCCAATCCAAGTTGTGACGACCTCCCTTACAGAGAGGTTGACGCACTAATTTATAGGTGTCAATATTTCTGAAAATTCTGAAAAATATATAGAAAAGCTGTGCTTACACAATTTTACTGATTACATTAACTGCATATTTTATAAAGATCGAACTTATAGTTTGTCCATTAAATAAAAACACATGTATTTTACAGTGTTTATTAACCATCGCACATACTTATGTACTACTCACTACTTCTGAAGTATTTACCAGCTTCAGATTTAAATTTTAAATAATGTGAAGGGTCGTTCTAAAACTGCGTCCCTTTTTCATGTCATAAGTATATAAACACCATTAAACTGACTACTGCTTAGTTTTAATACCATCCACTTAACAGGAAAGCTGGACAGACCTAATTTTAACCTCCGAATGCCTTCCTAATAACGTCGACATCTGCTCGCAAAGTAATCGCCCAAATATTCAGCATCGACCGACTCGGGGCCGCTCTAATCATGAAAATGTATTTATGACCTAATTAAACTCTTGTCTATGCCCCGCCGGCTCGAATAACAGAGACGCTTATTAGACGCACCGCACAAGTGCGACAGAGAGAACGGACGCCGTCTCGTGATTAATGAGCGTTATATGGCTGGTTAAGTACCATGTAATTTGCAAAACGACCCTTAATTACCGAAGAACACAGCTACCATCGACGTCCTTATCGCGCGTTCAAAATTACAAGGCGGGCGAGTGAGACGGCTCCAAGTTTGTGTTTCGACTTAAAAGGCGGTATTTAATGAGGCATTATGATGTCGCCCGAACAGATTAGGTTCACATGCCGTTGAAAATTGTTTGCTTCTCTCTTTATATTTGGCTTTCAGGAACGCAAACATTGTATACTAATTTAGTAATGTGTTTTCACTGTAATTCTACTTTGTTATTGGTTTATTTACTTTTGTTTCTCTACAAAGTCTTTCATACTTTAAATTGTGGAGGTATTACAGTCATGTAATATTTAATTTATACATGTAATATTTTAACTTCATAGTTTATTTAATTATAGTAGTATTATTATGTATGAAAACTTCCTAATTTAATGCATCCACGAGATATCTTAGACATAAAGTTTTGAACAACAATCTTCAAAGATAAATAAAATTATCAAACACAACAAACCTACTATCAAACTTATACCATCATTTCCTTTTTGACAGGTATGGTTCCAAAACAGAAGAACGAAATGGCGGAAAAAGCATGCAGCAGAAATGGCAACAGCTAAACGCAAGCAAGAAGAATTAGGAGAGGAATGCGACGACCAAGAGCCACACGATAACGATCCTTGTAGTGACGATGACGACGCTAAGCGGCCAAGGCTCGACCTCCACCATCAGCACATGACTCATCACCAGCTGCCTCATCACCGCCAGTGATCACTAGCAGCCGGCGCGGGCAATGGAATCAAAACAGCTTGCATAGCTCGCGTCGACGACACCAATTACACCACACCAAGTGAAAGTGATGTAAAAGATGTTAAAGACAATAGTGCTTTTGATGATGATAAAAATACTAATGATTATACATACAGTAGGAATATCAATGAAGCTAAGTATTTAGGCAGTGAACGCACTGATAATAATATTTATTCAAATTTCGGAATGTACCCAGAGTATATTGTACCTAGAACATTCTGCAAGGAATCTGTTAGCGAAGATACTCCTTGTGATCTATCAAATTGGCAGAGGATGAAAGAATATGAGCAGACAGTCGAGAACGAGAGAGATGCGGCGAACGCTAGTGAAGTTGAGAGTGAACAAGAAACATTTCATAATGGTGACAATTTGAATAATGACGATGTACAGCAACCTATAAATTTCGCGTACTACCATTTTTAAGTGAAGACGTCGAAAGAAAGATCTTATTCTATATCTTTGAAAACTAAATTTTGTTCAAATAAGATATGAAATTAAAATATCCCCTAATACCAATTTAGATTGGTCTATCAATTGACCAACAAATCGTGCTTAAGACTGAAGCTCTTAATCTCAGTGGTTAGTTCGTTCAGTCTACGTTGTAGAAATATAAGTAACTTTCGCAAGGGCTGGTCATAGTATGGGTTACTGAAAATTAAGGGTGCTCCAAAGAGTGTTTCGAGTCGTTGGCACCGAATGCATTTTCTATTTTAGTCATTAACACTCATCAATCTGCTGTTTAATTCCATCTATCTATAGGAAACTTACCTTAAAATATAAATTGAATCCTGAAATTCACAAAATGAACAAGAATTCCTGAGACCCTGAGACACAGAATCCTCTGAAATTTTGTTTTCAAAGTTAAATAGAGTATGTCTAGTTTAGTTTACTTTAATCTGTAAATATCTAGTTAGGAGTAGTCATTGTGATACTTAAGTAATTTATTATTATAGTTAGATTTTACATGGTACTACTTTAATGTACTCTTAAGTGGTTTAAATTTAATAATAATTGTACATTTTATGAACGTTTAACTCCCGGTGCCAATTTCCTAAATGTAGTTCTAGGGTTATTTTGTATGTTAATTTGTAATTCAAACGTTTTGAATGTATGTTTAAAGAAATTCTTAGCTTAAAGTTCAGCTATAACTGATAGCCCTTGTCTTTTTCTGTCATTTATATATTTTCTGTAGTTTATATTTCCTAGAGCGAGAAAGGTAAATCGCCTTGAGGGTTCACCGTGACATCCGTTAAAATTTTCGCTCTAGCAAATTATTACAAAAGTAGTTGCATGATGCTACTTTCATAACACTAAAGTGGTTTCGAGCGATGTGCATATTTTTAATGAAACTACTTTCAAGCAACTAATTTCATCTCGATTTACATGGCAAAATTAATGTGTCGACTCCATCTGCATATAATAAATCTTCGATGTTGACGGAGCCAGTGTCAGAGATATTAAATACGAAAGTAGTTGCACTTGTGCCGAAATAAGTTTTGTAAAACTTGTTTTTAGTTTGATGCAACTATTGTCGTAATATTAATTTCGGCTTTATTCAAAAGAAACAAATCACTTTATGGACTCTTGTGTTTCTATTCAATTAGAAATAATCTGTCTCTATTTTGTTTATACTTTGTTTTTCAGGCGCTTGCTAATTTTGTAAATAATAAATTAATTTTATAGATACCTCAAGGAATGTATTTTTAAAATGCCACTGGCGAAGCATTGCAATATGTATATTGTATTATAAATTATGGAATGAATAAAAAATTGTAAATAAATATTTAAACGAATTTAACAACGTAATTAAGATTAACAGAGTAGTGTAGACCACGCCCTATATACTAATACATATTTCATGATATCAAATGTGCTCTAGAATTATATCATACTTAAAAACATCACTATATACCCAAATCACTTTCAAATGAAACCTAATTTTCGGTAGAAATAATAACAAAATAAAGAATTAATCTTATAAGAATTTAACGTCTACATTTTATTTTAACTATGCGAGTTAGATATCATAATTAAAGGATGAATTGGTCTCTTTTTTATTTGAGAAAAAATAATCTTAAAATTTTGCATGATTTTGTTTATCTCTAAGATATTCCACATATATTTGCATTATTTTTGCTTATTTATAATATGTTTACAATATGTGGATTTCTAATAAAAAAAGTAACAAGCTAAGTGAAATTTTTGGACTTTTTAATTAAGTTGTGGGTATACTCTTTTGCTTCAATCTAGAGTACAATTGACTTTAACACATAATGTGAAAAATCAATATTGATAATTTTCACATAATATTTAGTTTTTCAAATTTATCTGAAATAAAGAAAACTTTGTTCATTGATTGCAATTGTAGAAAAAAGGTGTCAATCCACTTATATGAGTATAGAGTCCTCATTTTGTCAATAAAATAATAATGTCGTATGAAAGTATATGACATGTAGAAATACTATTCAAAGTTTAATATTTTATCAATGTGAAATGCATATCTCATTGACTAAAATGCTACTTTCATAGTAAAAAAAATATTATCTAATGTTTTTTCTCGAATTTTTAATTTTTGTTTGTTCGCTGTGGATGTAATTTCATAGATTATTTTATTTACAAATTAAGGACGTGAATAACACATAATTTACCTTGTATTTACATAAGACCTTTCTAGATATTGTGTGAACATTATTCAAATAATAAAAAAACTATAAAAATAGTGAAAGAGCTTCAGGAATAAAAGAAATCGCTTACATGCACACACACGATAGAGCGCTTGGTATAACAGCTGTATTATAAACCCACCAAATTATAAATTCATTGTCTCCATACTTTAGACTTGAGCGTGGACGTCTACATAATGTGGTTGGAATAAACGGTTAGTAAAAAACATACAGACGTTTCAATTACATCATCCATTTTATATATTAATATAAAAACTCTTTTCTATTAATATTATACTTATTTTAGTTGTGTATACCCTTGTGATGGAAGGTAAATATGACATGATAATTTGATTTAATCGACTGAGATGACGTCTCAATTTACTCATTATTTATTCAGCCTATTTATATATAATTGTATTTGAAAATAATTCAAATATTTTCGCTTTCAATTCCGTATTCAACAAAAAATAAAATCTGAACAAAAATAATGATCACATTTCTTATTAAAAACCAAGATATACTAGGAGCATATTAACATGTATTCTATTAACTAAGAACTAAAAAAAAGTACTAAAAACTGCATAGAAATAAAAAAGCATTATGTTGTAAATTCCATATACGATTTAAAGGCGCACTGTTTTATTAGAGTGTTAAGTTGAATTAAAGTTCTATGCATACTTTTATAATTGCAATTTAAACTTAATATTGTCGATGTTTGGCAGTATCAAAACCAGTGTGCATTTTTAGGACGCACCTCATCATCAATTCCAAACAAACCCAGTGAAATAACAAAGAAAATGACACGTCGCAAAAGTATAAAAGATAGGTATGATTCAGGATTTCAAATAAAGATGAATCGAACCAAAACATTCGTCCGCTATCTCTTCTAAACTGTCAAGATCGAACGACGACCAATTCGTTCACACCAATATTTATAAGGGTGTGATACCTACCCTTGCATTGATCAGAAAACCTTCCGAAGGCAATCGGGAAGGCTTCCGGGCAAAAATCGCGTCCCCCCTCATTCAAATCTCAAAAGAAAACATAAGAAAAAGTAATCTTGACTGTGTTAAAATACAGACTATTTCGCTTCGACGGTCTTGTGGACTATGTAATGTGGCTTCCATAGAAATGTAAAACATCGCTTTGTACGAGGCTAGAGAGAGACGGAACGAGCTAGACTAGGTGGGTGTATTCTGGGGGTGGGGACGGGGTGCTATTCTTTCATTTGTTGCGGGTAGGGGTTACCAAATTTTTATTTTGAGACAGGAAATGATAGAAGGAAAACAAAAGTTAATTGCTTGAGGTTGAAGAGATATAGTGTTGTTTATTTCTGTTTTCGTTGATGAATTTTCGAATATATCGGAACATAATATTATATATATATATATAAAGCACGGTTACGTATAACTTATAGATAGAAATTAGTGAGAAAGGTCACAGCCTTGGGATCTCTAGTTTATTTAGTAGTAACGACCAGAACTACATAAATAAATATGTATGACATAGCATCACATAGATATTAGTCGGATCCCAAATGAAGTAGCTGATGTTTGTACTATGGAAATCTGAGACAGCGAAAATAAAAGTTCATTAAGTTCATTTCTGAGGTGGAATCGAACCCGGAATTTTACATGGCGGGAAGTTTTACTTTTTTATCCACAAACCGCACCGGACCCGCGCGGTGGGGCAAGGCCCGTTCTCGATATTGAATTCGATTCGATCCCATCCATAGCCTCAGTCGCGGGAACACTAATAGGCTGGTGACGTTGACAACTTTTCGGCATTTATAATCTCTAATATCATAGAGATGTAAAAATTGTAGAAGTGGAAGAGTCACTTTATATTGTACATAGAAAAAGTCAAAATTATATTAGGATTACTTTCGGTTGAATAAAAAAATCAAAGAACTGACCTTGCGTTCAGGTAAATATATATTTAATTATACCTACTATTTACATTATATTAAATAGCAAAAATGTTAAATCACGTGAATATTACTAAGCGGCACTCACTTTCTATCACATACTAATAAAAATAGGAAAAGCTAAACATATTTTTCTTTTAAAAGGTGTTTATTTATTATATTTGATCTATAAATTTTGTCCCAGGCGCTCTGAGATGGGAATCGAACCCATGACCTTTTGCAATCCAGGCGACTGCTTTAACCACTGACCTCCCCAGGACTGACGAATTTTTTTCAAGCACTTGATACTTTTGTGCTACTACAGAGCGTTATATTCATCAATGTTCAGGTAATCCGAAAATATTTTTCAGTATAGCATTGTGAATGTGAACTCGATCAAATATAATAATTAGAATAATATTTCATCTTTATCTAAAGTTTATATATTTGTAGAAATATTATTTCTTTCGGCTATTTGGATGGATTGCCTGAAAATTGACGAGAATACGCTTCGTAGTGGCGAATAATTAAAGGCAAAAAAAACTTTAAAAAGAGTTTTTATTTAAACGCTTTAAAAAGACGAAAATATTTTTTTTTTGTCTTTTTAAGGCGTTCTTTTAAGTTTTAACTACCAACTTATAACTTAATTATACACAATTAATATGATCATAAAAGCTTGTCGCGAGGTTTAACTATTCATCAATATTAAATTAAATTGAAATTTTAAAAATTAAATTTAGCAGTTTTAACGTAATTGAATTGGTACTATTTTATTTACACAAGTAAATCGCGCATCAAGCTTTTTAACAATAACTTTTCCGCCATTTTGGGTAGTCCGCCATATTGGATTT